AGATGAACTGCTATGTTATCTGCCTAGTGAAAGGATACATCCGTTATAGAGGAAGACATACCATATGGATCTTATATAATTTTCTGTACACACTCTTCAGCACTTGATGGAAAATCATTAAGTATGCAAAAATAAAACATCTCAAGATAACAATAAAAAACCAAATGAAAAGTAATAACTAGAAACATACCCATGGCTCATCCAGATATTAGAGCTAGCTAAGGAATTTTCAAACAATGCTAATTAATATATTCATAACAAAAGAGTGAGAAATTATAAAGAACTTTACCAGAGTATTAGACTCTATAAAAAGAATAACAAATTCTGGAGCTGAGAAATACACCATCTGAAATGAACTCATTAGACGGATTAAAGAACACATTAGATACGGCAGAAGACAGATTTAGTAAACTCAAGAAATAGTCAATAAGATACATCTAAATTTAAGCAGAGAAGTAGAATAACGAAAAATATTATTTAAAAAGCCTTTGGAGATATGTGAAACACAGAGTATAGTTGGAGCCCTAGAAGGAGCACAGAGAACAAAGCAGAAGCAAAAGAGAATTCCAGGAAGAATTGAAGAGTAATAGTCAAAGTAAATATGTGAGAATATACACATAGAAATAAATATTGACTCCTGTCACTTGACTGCATAAGACAATAACGGAAATGTCTCTACAGGATTTAAAATCTAGGCAGAATTAAAAAGGATGGCAACAATGATGCAAAAGATGCAAGAGGGCAAACAGAGTTAAAGTATTTTAATGTTATAAAATTATTAGGGGCTTGGCAAAACTAAACATTGGTATTAGATTGGAAGAAGTCAAGGATTCATGTTGTAATTTCTAAGGTAAAAGCTGGGGAATATAAAATATAAATGAATGGATAATTAACAAATGAAAGTAACAAAAAATTAAAATATTTTTGGTTTAACCCCAAAAACATGAGAAATAAAACAGACCAAGTGAAAAACAGATAGCAATATGGTAGACATAAACCAAACTCTATCAGCAATTACTTTAGATTTAAAAGAACTAAATATTCTAATTCAGAAACCAAGATTGCCTCAGAGGAAAAAATTATTAACACCAACTTTATAGTGCTTAGGAAAGATACGCCTTAAATATGAGAACATAGAGAGGTTGAAAATGAAACCCTGAAGAAAGATACAACATAGAAACACCAACCAAGATAAGGGATGGCTCAACTAATAATCAGACCAGGTAGGCTTTATGGAAAGAAGCATTACTAGAAATGTAGAAGGTATGTTAGTTATTAATTTATTGTTTCTCGGCTGCAAACTCACCCATCTCTCTGTATTGTGATACTAGAACTGAAATCTACAGACTACATTTTAATTTTTCCAGCTGGTTGAAAGTTAGGCTCTGCCAATAGAGGGTACTGGAGAAACACTGCTAAGCTGAAACAGGAAGAAGGGACGTTTCCTTCTTGGAATGTTCCGTTTATGCCAGCAGCAAATGCTTCTGTTTGTAGGGGTTTAGGTAGCATTAACCGATGCGGTGGTGGCCCTCACAGTCAGTGCAGGTATTCTTCTGTCAGATTTCCTCATCACTGCAGCCATGTTGCTCTCCTAGTTCTGAGACAAGTGAATCCTGTCTTAGTGACTTTCCCCCGGTCACACTCTCTCCTCAGAGGTCTGAATTTTAGCCTTGCAGGACCTCCTCGGAGCTTCCAAGTTACTTAACTGTTCATGACCCCTCATCCCTAAGGATGCTGCAGGGAACTATGCAAGGAGAAGACAACACAATTTAAATCTGTCTTCAGTGATTAACATGGCTTTTAAGTACATCAAATAGAAAACACTGATGAATAAAAGGAGAAATTGACAAATCTCCAATTCTAGTGGGAAATTGTAACACACCTCTGTCAATGGCTGATGGAATTTCAGACAAAAAAAAAAAAAGAAAGTAAAGAAGAAAGGAAAAAGGAAGGAAAACCTTCAAGAACATAGGAGCTCTGTGTACCATAAGTCGCAAACTTGACTTAATAGACATATGTCAAATCTTGCAACAAAGAAAGTCAGAATGTACGTTCTTTTCAAGTGCACCTGAAACTTTTGTGAAAACTGACCGTAGCTCACTCATAAGTCAAGCCACAACAAATTTCACATTTAATATGTAAATACAAAGGGCCAAGAATAGCCACATTCATCTTGAAGAAGAACAACGCTGACAGACTTGGCCAGATATTAAGAATTACTGTAAGTAAAGCTATAGTAAGGAAGGCAGCATGGCTTTGATGCAGGGGTAAATTACAACACCCCAGCAGAATAAAAAGTGCAGTAGTGGACCTAGATGTAAATGTTCATTTAATTTATGGCAAAAATTACCCTGACATGGAATGGGGCTGCTATCGCTTAAGCATGCACCCCAAAAGTTTATGTGTTGAAAGCCTGATTTTCACCTCGATGCAGTGGTGTGGGGAGTTAAGGCCCAGTGGGAGGTGTTTGGGTCATGGGGGAAGATGCCTTATGAATATATTAATGCTGAGTGAATGAGGGAGTAAGTTATTGTAATCCCAGCTACTCGGGAGTCTTAGGCAGCAGAGTCACTTGAACCCGGGAAGTGGAGGTTGCAGTGAGCTAAGATTGTGCCACTGCTCTCCAGCCCGGGTGACAGAGCAAGATTCTGCCTCAAAAAAAAAAAAAAAAAAAAAAAAAAGAAAGAAAAAGAGTAAGTCATTATAAAGCAAGGCTGCCTCTCATGCTTGGTCTTCTTTTTGCATGTCTGCTTCCTCTTTGTTTCTTAGCCATGTGGTAATGCAGCATGAGTTCCTCACCAGAAACAGCAGATGCTGGTGCTATGTCTCCTGGACTTCCCAGCCTCCAGAATTGTAAGCCAAATGAATCTCTTTTTAAAATAAATTATCCAGTCTCAGATGTTCTGCTATAGCAACAGAAAACAGACTAAGTCAGAAACTAGAATTATGGCCTTTTTAAATAAATGGTGCTGGCCTAAATCAAATGCAGCAAGTAAATTTTGATATCTATCTTATATAATGCACAAAAATAAATTCCAAATGCATTGCAAAAGTAAATGTAAAAAAACCAACATTAATGCTTTAGAAGAAAAAAGGATGATTTTACAACTTGGATAGGCAAAGACTTCTTTAACAGAATATAAAAATAATAAATTGGATTATATTACATATAATAATTTTTGTTCATCAAAACATAGCTTTAAAAATGAAATTACAATTCATGGCATAAAAGAAAATATCTGTAGTACATATATTTGATGTGGATTTGTATCCAGAATATATAAAGAACTTCTATAAAAGAAGACAGATGAAAAAAACCCAGTAGAGAAATGGGCTAAACATTCTAACCGACATATGACAAAAGATGATCTCCAAATGGTCAGTAAACTCTTGAAAGTGTTATTAACTTCCATTAGTCATCACTAGAATGCAAAGCGAAACCACAGGTTGATATCATGTCAAATCCACCAGAAGGTTAAACTTAAGAAGGCGGACAACACCTAGTATTGGCAAATATATGGCATAAATGGAGCTTTTACACAAAGCAGATATAAATGAAAGTTGGTACAACCACTTTGAAAAGCTGTTTGGCAGCATCTGCTTCCTTCTATATCCTGTACTGGGATAATTTTTTTCCATATATCCAGCAGAAATGCATACAAGAATGTTCACAGTAGCACTATTTAATAACAACATTGTAACATAATAACATTGAAAACATTCCAAATACCTGTGAATCATAGAAAAAATACAAATATTGTGGTATATTTATACAATGGAAAAATATTATTAGCAGTGAGAATAAATGAATTAAAACTACAAGCAACCACATGGAAGAATTTCAAAAATAAAACGTGGAGTGAAAGAAGCCAGATACAAAAGAATACATAGTGTATGATTCATTTAAATAAAGACCAAAGTTAGGCAAAACTAATTTGTGGTGTTAGGTGCCAGATTGGTGGTTGCCCTTGAGATTGTGAGTGGTAACTGGAATGGAACAGAAGGAGCTCCTGGGCTTACTGGTACCATCATTTCTGGTTACACCAATGTGTTCATTTGATTAAATTTACTATTTTTGCCTTTTACCAAAAGTATGTTATGCATTAATAAAAAGTTTACATTAAGAAAATCACAGGTCAAGACAGCTTGAAATTTTACATACAAACCTCTAAGTTTATACAAGGCAAGTTTTCCCTAAACACACATCCCCTACTCCCTTACCTACAATCTTTGCATTGTCTAAGAATACAAGCAAGAAGGCAGAAGGCAGGGTAAAGATTTGATAGTTAGGAGGTGCTTTCTTCAAAATTCTCCAGGAGGGTAGAGCCACACAAAACAAATGAAATGCAATTCATGTTAGTGGCTTAGAAATTATCAGACGGTGTGTATTGTAGATAGGCTGAAAGACCTTCCCCGACTACATTTCTGAAGGTTCCCAAAACCGGGGCAAGCAGCACTGGACATGTAGCAGCTGCTCGCTTTCATTGTCGATAATTATTATTTTTTTCTTTTCTTTGATTTTTTTTGCTATCGTTTTAAAAATAATTGCTTATTTTTATTATTTGTGGGTACATAGTAGGTGTACCCACATATCTGAACATATATTTATGGGGGACATGAGATGTTTTGACATAAGGATGCAACGCGTAATAATCACATCACAGAAAATGGGGTATCCATCCCCTCAAGGATTTATCCTTTGTGTTGCAAGCAAACCAGTTATACTCTTTTAGTTATTTTAAAATATACATTTAAATTATTATTGACTGTAGTCCCCCTCGTGCTGTCAGATACTAGGTGTTCTTCATTCATTCATTCTATTTTTTCATAGCCATTACAGTATTGGCATCATTTTTTAAATTTAGCTATGGCCGAGGTGGGAGGAATAAAGCCTGTGTGCTTGCTTTCTTATGACACAAACTCCCTGCAGCTGTTTGTTATATTAATCGGAATATATGGTGACCTAATGACCAGACCAGTGACCTCAGGCTCAACCTTACCTCAGTCAACACCCAGTCCTAGGAGAAGGTGGGAAGAAGAAGGTCTCAAGGGAGGCCAGTGGGAACCAGAGAAGACAGTGACACAAGGCCCTTTCCCCGTGCAGCCGCCATGCGGAAGAACAAGTTTTCCCTGTCCTCTCCTGGGAAGGAGGGAGAAATGGTGACCACTTGAGAGGGAAAAATAGAGCCGAGAGGGAATTTGTAGCTCAATTTTGTTAAACATTTACTCAAAGAACCCATTTTAAAACACTACTGAATTTTATTTGATGATGAAGCTTAAATAATCCTCCTCTCCATTCCCACATTCCAACATTAGTTGAAATGGGGCCTAAAGAGTTCAATTGATGACTTCTGCTGTCAAAATAAATCTGCCTCTGCCATCACTGTACATCTAAACCAGCCTACACCAGTATGGGGCAGCACCTGCAGGTGTGAATGTCCTAGACAGAATCTGCACTCTCAAGCCTTGTAGATGTGAAAGATCTAAAAGAATAAAAAATATCGAGAATTAGGGTGGTAAAAAGAAAAGCGGAGATCAGAAATGAAAAATAAGAAAGAACAAAATTAGATGACCACAATGTTAGACAAATTCTGTAACAACAGATAGAGTCACAGAAAGGTCCATGGAAGGCAGGATTGACGGGAGGAAAGCAGGAAGAGAAATGGTAACCACGGAAGACAAAGCTTTTATGAACAGCAGAACTTCCTCATTTTCTACATTCATTGAATTGGTCAATGACTACATGGGCAACATCTTAAAGGCATTCTGTACATAGTCTGCTGGATTGAAATGTTTAAGTTCATAAAGGGTGTCAATTTTAATGTATTTCAACTCTTTTCTCTCAATCTGGTAATGACTGTCATGTTTAACATGATGCTCCCTCAGTTAACTACATCAGTAAATATAAAGGGTGAGGAAATTAACTGAGAGATCTGAACTTCTGAAAGTCTTTAATTCATTCTTGGCCCCAATACGTAAGAAGGTTCAGATGCCTGAAACACACACACACACACACACACACACACACACACACACACACACACACACACACACACCTCTCCCTAGAAGAGACCAGATGTGTTAGGTTTGGGAATGTATGTTATAGAGGACTATTGCCATTCTCTCTTTCTTCACCTTAAACTTAGGTTTCCAAATATCTGTTCAACAGAAATGAGAAGCGATTTATATCACGGTTTTGCTCCTTACATCTTCAAGTTAACAAAATTGAGCAGATTTCTAACAAGTTAAATGCATACTTTTTTTCTTGGGGAGAGGTGATAATGCAATGTCTTCTCAAGCTATAACTTCGGTGATGGTTCAAGACAGCATTGAATTCTTCTGCTTGAGTTTTGCTGGCTAATAGGAATTTAATTGAGAGCCAGTGGGAGAGCACTGAAGCATTGATGCATGTGAAATCAGATGAACACCCACAATATGGAATTTCCTAAGGAAAGTTATTCTAGCGGAGAAATACAGACCAGGTTGAGTGCCAGTAACTTTTAAGCTAACATGTGAAGCTATCTTCCTAATAAGTAATGAACTAAAGATCCCTGAAGAAAAGCAAGGCCAATATTTTCAACTTTATATTTTCAAACATTTTTAAAATCTCAGCTCAGAGTTATATACAATTCCCTTCCTCTGTAGGATATTAATCTTCCTTAACTTTGATTCCACATAATAATGCTTATTTTTGAAAGGTACAACTTATTTAGGTAAATCTGAAATAAATAGCAAGACAGAATAATTTGTCTATGAAGATAAATCAAAATCAGAAGCTGATTTCTGTTCAGTAATTCTAATACAAGTCTTCCTGAAGCATTTCCTTTTAAATGGCCTACTTAAAACCATATCAGTTTTCCACTTCTCATCCCATTCTAGATGACAATGTGACTTGTGCTTCAGTTTTTACTCATAAAGGTTAAAGAGACATTTTCTAACACCTATCCTGTGTCACATCAACTCAATTACCTTTTAAAGTTGCCTAAATTGTGAAATATTAGCGGTTCAAATACATGAATTCTGCAGATTTCAGAATAGATGTACATAAGTGTACATAAATGTATATCATATCATATAGTATGTAAATACATTTATTCCTGGAGGCTTTCTAAAATGTAAAGGTAAAGCTGAATCTTTACCTTCTAGTAATTTTACAATAATTTTCCTCATCATATAGAGATCTGAAATTCTGATATCAGTCATCGCCATTGGTTTCTCTTTTCTTATTTACAAAATGGAGCTACGGATAATATCTGCCTCATGTAATTGTTGAGAAGCATAATATAGGAAGCTTGCCTGATAACAGTAAGTGCTCAATAAATGTTAATATTGTTCTGTCATTATCATCATTTTTGTTTTTGCTGTTAGTATTGTTCAGCAATTTTCTTTAAAAATTAGACAATTAGAAAAATGCTCTTTCTATTACACAGATGACTCATTCTCATTCATTGTGTATATTTTGAAATTTAGCTAGAGCTATGATAAATTATAGTCTTTATTTTGCTATCTTTACAGCTGTAACATTTTATTTCATAACATCCCTGAAAACACTCAGCAAGCTCTTCGTGAGTGCAAAATGTTATAACTTGAACGTTACTTTCCAAGAAGATGACTCAATATATTCTACACTAGTTGAAAGACAATACTCCAGGCTTTCTGCTGTAAAAGGATTTAAAAACCCTTGAGCATATGGTGTTTGCATTGGTTTTGTTACTACGGACTGCAATTGTTGGGATACCTATTCATTTATTTCATACTGATGTGTCACATGAAAGGAACAACAACAACAAAAACCAACTTGCAGTCAAATTCTATGCAGAGGGATATAGCTTTAGTCGCCGCGTGTCTTAATCAGAAAAAATACTCCTGCAGTAAGGATTAACTGTGGGTTTATGCCTGGAGATCACTTTAAGGTTCTGTGGCTCACAGTTCATGCTCATTTGTTGTTTTCTAAGTCGTAATCAATTTCCAAGGTGTTGGTTTCACTGCTCAGAAATGAACAACTTAATGAACTTAGGATAGTTTCTGTTATAATACTGTTTGTACATTAAATTTAATCATAAATGGTTAAACAAAAACACATATGACGTTTTCAAGCATTTATTTCAAACTAAGGCTACTAAAAATGGTAAACACTTCCCTGGTGCTTCAAAAACAGAGACCCTTACTGACACCTATTAATATTTTATGGGTAATAAATACAAAATGCAAATTTTAAACAAAGCTTGAACCTATTTTTCATTGCTCATGCTGAACAACCTTTGAATGGCAAGGTCCTTGTGAAAGACATTCATTCATTCATTCCCTTACTCATTCATCCATCAGACATTTCAGAGCATGCATTTTATGCCAGGCATGATGTTAGCTTACAGAAATGATGACATGGTCTGTGTCTTACCGGGAGCTTGGATTGTTCATCTCCCTAATATCCTACTCCTTGATATTCAATGTCTTCAATCCACAGGAATATCATGAATTTAAAGAGACAATAACCCATATCACAAATGATAAAATGTGAACTCTGAATTAGTGGTCATCATCTCACACTTGACTAGAAAAAGATGTCTTCAAATTAGACACTTTGTTAGGGAACATATGTCAGAATAAAGCAAAACAAAACAAAAAATCTGTTACTGGGAAACCAAATGGGATCTTAGTCTTTACTTTCTCACCAGACTGGGGAAGGATAGGGCGAGCCGGAGCAGGGGACAGGAGACCCTTTGGAACTACCTGTCTTCTACCTGCCTTCAGGGGACGATTGGAACTACCTGTCTTCTACCTGCCTGCCCGGGACGATTGGAACTACCTGTCTTCTACCTGCCTGCAGAGGACGATTGGAACTACCTGTCTTCTACCTGCCTGCCCTGGACGATTGGAACTACCTGTCTTCTACCTGCCTGCCCGGGACGATTGGCACTACCTGTCTTCCACCTGCCTGCCCGGGACGATTGGAACTACCTGTCTTCCACCTGCCTGCCCGGGACGATTGGAACTACCTGTCTTCCACCTGCCTGCCCCGGACGATTGGAACTACCTGTCTTCTACCTGCCTGCCCCGGACGATTGGAACTACCTGTCTTCTACCTGCCTGCAGGGGACGAGTTCTTGGCTGCTTACTAGGGCTTTCTGTAAGCAACATTCCTCATTCCTCGGGTGAAGAAGGAGCTCCTGTTTTCTGACGTCCTGGAGCTTCCCCTGAGGGGCATCCCCCTTCCTTCCCACCCAGCCACTGAGAGAGGAAGGCTTTAAAGCAGACCGGATTGATTCTCCTCCTACCTGAGCAGCTGCGGCTCAGCCCCGCGGGGACCGGGCGGGGTTCTGGACTGCCCCCAGCCACAGCGTCTGCCGACCCCCGCTCCAAACGTCCCACTGCGAGGCCTGCTCAGGCCGCGGGCTCGCGGGGACCCCGAGACTGGAAACGTCCCGAGCCACGCGGCCCATCGCGCCCACCAGTGGCGCGGGTCGCCGGCCCCTCCCTCGTCTTCCCTCTTGAGTTGCACCTGATGTTTCCAGTAATGAAAACAAGCTTATTTATATTTTTCAGTTTCTAAAAGCAATGTGATCATTAAAACAACTCGGAAGATACAGAAAGATGTACATAAATAATTAGCTGTATTCTAAAGAGAAACACTAGGGACATTTTTATATCTTTGCAGTCTCTTTACTAAAAACAGATTAAAAAAAATCATATCACTCTGTCTCACAAAAAGCGACACAGTTACAATATAGACTTTATACATACATTTTATAAAGTTTTGTATTTGTTCTCCTTTTAAAGAAAATTATTTTAAACTTTTTACTCTAAAACATACATAGGTAGGAGTTATATCTCGAAGATTATGATATCACATTATGTTAATATAAAAATGTATATTATATATTATATTATCAAATATGTAATAGTATTATATTATACTAATATATAGTGTTACATAACATGTTGTATACATATATAATTATGTATATTTAAACATAAACACACTTTACCTTCCATGAATTTTAGGCAGTACATTATTGATACATTTGAAGAAATCTGTGTACTC